ATTCGGACTCTCGCATGCCCGGGGCTCTGGCCATTGAGCCGAGCCGTTGCCTTCGGATACCCAGTCGCTGATAGGTGCCCCCTCTGCGGGGCGGAGGGCGATGCCATCATTCATCGTCTCTGGTGTTGCCCAGCGCGCGAGACTGAACTTTCCGACCACGTCGCGCCTCAGTTATTGAGCCGCGTCCGTCGCGAGCTGGGGGCGGGTGCTGACCCTGGGTTTAAGGTTCTGGGAGACGGGCCTGTTCCTTCACCCGTCCTCTGGGGCCCCCGTCCCCCGCTCCGCCTAGGAACCAAAAGATTCGGCAGTTTTGGGGTTGTTTCCAGATGCTTCGAGGGTGCGAGCCCCCGTCGTCCTTCCGAGGGGATCAGGGGGACCTGGGGGAATGCCTGCCTGGGTGGCTCTTGTTTCAGGCACCCCATTCGAGAATTGTCTCGCCATGGGAGGGGGGCTGTCTGGCCCGGCGAGCTTGGACAGATCCTCGCGCGCATGCGTGGCGCGGTTTGCAATGCTTACCCCTGGCCGAGTGTGACCGCTGAATTCGTCGCCCTAGTTGCCGCGGCATGCGCCCTTGAAGAGTCGGCCGAGTTTGTTTCGGACTGCAAAGTGGTTGTCGACCAGTTCGCCCTTCCTTTCGCCCGGAAGGTTTCTCCCGGCAGACCCTGCAGCGGTCTAGTTTTACAATGTCTGGCGAATGCCAATGGTCGGCTGAATGGCGTTTCCAAAGTGAAGCTCAGAGCGAAGAAGATTTCAGCATGGACGGGGAAGAACGGCTCAGATTCCGAGGAGATAATTTCGTTGACGAGGCGGCTATGGCTAGCGCCCGTCTACACGAGCCTCTAGGCAGAGATCTCGAGGCGAGCCTTCCTTTTCTAGTGTCTGTTTCTTAGGCTCTCGCCAGGCTCGCCACCCATCTCCTGGAATTGTGGCCCAGGACCGACCTGGGTGGTGTTTCTTGGGTCCGCCCTTCTCTTGTGGGGCCTCCTAGGGGACTGAGTCCTGGGCGCTCCTGGAGCTGGGTTGGCAAATGTTGGCAACGCAGCGAGCGCCCCACAAGCTCTCGCTCTGCTTTGCGGCCTCCACCAGGGAGGTACACTCTCAAACTGAAGGTGTCGCCTCAGGCTCTCAGAGACCTTGGCCACCGATGCGTCGTCGCAGACTGTAGCGACGGCGGTATTGCTGCTTTCTGCCAGTTGTGTTTCTTCTGCACGTCTGGCGGACAGCTGCGCGGATTGGGCGACCCCTGTCAGGCGCGCGCCTCCGCCCTCTCGCCCGACAAGAGCTGGTCATCTCATAGTTCCCGCAGAAGAGAAGTTCGGGCCAGACTCAGCAAAGGACCCCACCCGAGGAGGAACGGGGTCACAGTTGATCTGGACTGCATCTGGGTCCTCTACAGGTCCTGGTGCCTTGTGCCTTGCGTCGTCCTGCCTGGCGGTGCTGGTTAAGCGGCCAGCCTTTGAACTCGGGCCTTGGAGTTCCGTCAGGCAGGCGATGCTGGCCGTCCTTTTTCACCGCCACTTGCGTAGGCACCGCCTCCTGACCGCGGGGGTGGAGGATGCCCCCCCCTGCGGCGACAGCTGCTCAGGAGGGCCGCCCTTATGGTCGCGGCTGCTGGTCTCGCGCGGCGGGTTCGATCTGGGTTTCGCTTCGTCCTCCGTGGCGGTGCTGGTTACGCTGCCCGCCCTGGAACTCGGGCCTTCGAGTTCCGCCACGCAGGCGTTGCTGACGGTCCTCTTCACTACCTCGCGTGGTCCTCGTCCCCCTGTTGCACGGCCGTGGGGTGATGTCTCCCCTGCGGTGACCGCTGTTCAGGGGGGCCGCCTCTTCAGTTTTCAGAGTGTGCGTCAGGGCACGGGGGAGGCAGCTCCGTCCTCCCCGACCGTGCGCCCCTGCCGTGGCGCTCGGTGTTCTCTGGACAGCGTCGTCAGTCGATGCCGTCCAGAGGCCCCCATGCCCGTTCTGACTGGCCCCTTGGCCGTGGATGTCAAAAAATCCTCCTCCTCCTCCTCCTCTTTCTCCTCCTCCTCCTCCTCCTCCTCCTCCTCTTTCTCCTCCGCCTTCTCGCTCCTCGCGTCTCCTCCTCCATGTTCCTGCTTGTTTTGCCTCCTCCTCCTCCTGCTTCGCCCTGCCTCTTCGTCCTCCTTCTCCTCCTCGCTTCTCGCCCCTCGCTTCTCTTCCTCCTTGCTGCTCCCAGCTCAGGGCCCCGCTCCTCGCTCGCGTTCGGACGCTTCGCTCATCCGCCCCCCGTTCCCGTGCGTCTCCGCGCCGCGATCCTCCTCGCCACACCTCCTCGCTCATCCTTGCTCCTCCTCGCTCATTCTCCTCGTTTTTGTCCTTGCTCCTCTTCTTCCTCGTCCTCCTCCTCCTCCTCCTCCTCCTCCTCCTCCTCCTCCTCCTCCTCCTCCTCCTCTTCGTCTCGCCCTCGCTCCTCGCTCCGCCCCCTCGCCGCCCCCTCATTGCCCTCTTCTCCTCCTCGTTTTTCGCTCATTTTCCCCTCCTTCCGGCTCCTGCCTCGTCGCTCCTGTCGCCCTCCCCGTCCTCGCTGCGACGTCGCTGCTCGCCTCTGCTCGCCCCCCGGCTCCCGAGCGCCCTCGTGCTGCCCGCTCGCCGCTCCCGTGGTGTTCCTCGCTGGCTCCTGCGCGCCCACCGAACAGGAAAGGGGGGCAGCGTGAGACTCTCGCCAGGCCTTGGGGCGGTCAATCGAAGAAGAAGAAGAAGAGGAATAATAATAACGGCATCAACATAATTGTTTGGCCTTCCGCGCGGACTTCTTGGATCCGCTCTGGGACCCCTCTGGGAGCACCCCTGGCGCAGAGGGGCCCAGCGCAAATCCAAGAAATCCGCGCGGAGCGGCAACACACATTATGTTTATGTCAAAGCACGATGCCCATTGGTCGTTGAATGTTGGTATTTGTGGATTCCCATATCCCGACCTGCTGTAAGCGCCTCCCTACTTCAGTGATCGGGTGGCTTCACCTGTTCTTTCCTCCTTGGGGGGTGGACGGGATTAGATCTACTTCCAACGCCTTCCTACTTCATGTTTGAGGGGTTTGGGTCGAACCAACCTGTCCCGAGAAAGAGGCCCAGAGCTCCCAGGGCACCGCCCTTACAAAACATCGAGGCAAGCGGTGTCCGGGCGGCCGCCTTCCTAGGGAGGCCCAGGGCGCCTCGGACGGATGCGTCCCGCATGTTTGCTGGCAGAGCGCACCTCGGGAGAGGCCTGGGCAGCGTCGGAGCAACGCAAGACTTGAGCTCGCCAGAACTCGGACCATAGCCAACGCCTCTTGGTGGACCCCCGCCCAGGGCTTCCGCGGTCCAGTATTCGTGAGGCGTTTGCAGCGGGAGTCCGCGTCAAGTTGCAGCTGGGGCCTCGTTTTTTGTTGTAAATAGCCCACTTGGGCCAACTTGAGTCCTCAAATGTTGGGCGACTCGAGATGGCCTGACGGCCTCCTCCTCCTCCTGCTCCTCCCCCTCCCCTCCCCCTCCTCCTCCTCTTGCTGCCCCTCCCCCTCCTCCTCCGCCTCCTCCGCCTCCTCCTCCTCCTCCTCCTCCTCCGCCTCCTCCTCCTCCTCCTCCTCCTCCTCCTCCTCCTCCTCCTCCTCCTCCTCCTCCTCCTCCTCCTCCTCCTCCCTCCTCCTCCTCCTCCCCTCCTCCTCCTCCTCCTCCTCCTCCTCCTCCTCCTCCTCCTGCTGTTCCTCCTCCTCCTGCTGTTCCTCCTCCTCCTCCTCCTCCGGGTGCCGCGGGCCGCGCGGGGCTCTCGCGGGCCCGCCTGGCCTGACTCGCGTTCCTCTCACGCCTGCCCGGAAGAGGCCTCTAGCGAGGCGCCTAGCCAATCACCCTCTCCGTCGCTGCCGCGACTGGTCGCCCCCAGCTCGAGGGAGGTGCCTCTTCTGTCTGTCCTTCCCTCCCTCTCCCTTCCTTCCCTCTCCCTCTCCTCCCTCTCTGTCTGTCCTTCCTTCCCTCTCCCTCTCTCTCTCCCTCTCCCTCCCCCTTCCTCCCCCCTCGGGGCTCACGGGACGGGGGTCAATGCAAGCCGGGGTCAGTCAGAGCGCTGGACCTTGCAGGATCCTGCAGAGTCAGGGGCGCACTGACCTGGGCTTGGGCGCAGGATCCTGCAGGATCCTGCAGGGTGCTGCAAGGCCTGACTGACCGGGGTCTGGATTGAACCTTGGTCAGCAGGTCCCCGAGCGCCGGGCGTGTTTTGCGCTTGAGTGCCAGAGTATGTGCTTCCTGGGTGGGGTCGGAGTAGATGGGGCCAGAGGATCGCGCCGCATCGCCGAGGCATCGCCGATGCGGCTGGATGCGGAGCCCGATTGTCTCCACGTCGACGTCGCCGATGCATCGCCGACGTCGACGATGCATCGCCGGTGCATCGCCGATGCATCGCCGATGTTTCGGCGATACGGCGCGATTCTCCGACCCCATCTACTCCGACCCCATCTAGGAGGCCTCTATAGAGCCGCTGTGCTTCGAACGAAACTGGCAACTACATAAACATACATTTATTGGACCAGCGCTCGACCCCAATGGCGGTTCCCTCGGCGCCGCCACTGGCGCGCGGAGCGCGCACGGGAGGGGGGCCCTGAAATCCTTCAACGCCAGCTGTGCTGGCATACAAGGGCCCTCTTGCAGGTCAGATTGTATCCCTATCGAGGCGTTTCGGGGGCCTCGTGCACCGTCTTCAGGCCATCTTGAGGCGTTTTGCGAAACTCTTGGGCCGTGTCGAGACTTCTTGGATCGTTCTGGCGGCTTCTCAAGATCTTCTTGGCCCGTATTGGGGCCCTCGGGGCTTAGAGCACAGGAAAGTCGCGCGACACATCCCAATTGTCACACGTGGGAATGCTTAGAACATGCGGGACTTGGGCTTCTGGATCCCGAAAGAATCAGGAGGATTGAGGAGTAGAGTGCCTGAGGACACTCCACTCACTGCCTCGCGGCACGGTAGCGGATAGTATTTAGGTTTCTTTTTCTGCTTGTCGTGCACCGTCCACAGTGTTCAGGACTTCTGGTTCTGGGTGTTCATGACGTTGTCCATGATCCCGACGTATGGCATCCGCATTACTTTTTTTTTGTTTCTCCTGATTGCGGAGCTCACTGGATGCCCAGCGGACGAGTATCAGTTGGTACAGTTCATCCTGATG